AAGGGAAAACCCTCGGGATCAGTGGTGGCCTCTGTGAGACTGGGCCCCTTCCTCAGCCTTGGTAGACCCCTAGTAGAGGTTCCTGGAAGTCTTGGCGACTGACTTTGGCCTCCGGAGTCTGAGGGATGTGAGGCCATAGGTTGAGGTTGGCGGTGTAAGGTCCACAAAAGAGGGAGTCTGAGCTCCTACACTAGTTGTTGTTGGTGAAGGGCACGGAGAATTCTTAGGGTTCCACCACCCCAGTGGAGCTGTCTGTAGTGCAGTGTCTTGCTGCTTTTTCCAGCGCCGAAAGTCTTGTGCATGGGGTGTCTCCTCACCTCTATTTTGGGTCTCAGAGACTAGGGGCCTCGATTGGAAGGTGGGACCCCAAACAACAGAGCACAGCAGGGCGCACATCAACCTGTATCAGTTTGAAGAGCACAAGCGAGGACTGTGAGACCAGCCACCCGATGGCATAGGGCACGCTGCAGAGACCTTTTCCCCGCTGTCAGCCCTAAACAGCCCAGGGTGGGATGGCAGCCAGGGGCCACCCTTCCCTTGCTATTCTGAGTCCCAAAAGGTGAAGTATGTGCTCCGAATAGATTATTCAGCAGAAGGAGCCCTGTGCCCTGGCAGGTATTATTGAGTTATGACTGAAGGGCACGCTCTCCACTTAAAAGGGTTTGCCCAGGGTCCCAAGGAACCCTTGGGAGATCCCAAGCCATGGTAGTCTTATGAGACAACCCATCACTGTCCCACAGTGTTCACTGAGAAGTGAGGCCTTACTGTGGTGGGCAAACTCAGGACAACAGGAGAAGTTCCAGGCCCCTCCAGACTTCCAGCTGATGAGCCCAAGACAGCACCATCTCATGACTTTCTTCTCAGCTGTCTCAAACACAATAGAGTTTTTTTTTTTTTTCTGGAGTGGCTTTAGGTGTCAGAAGCTGAGGACTGAGGACTGAGCAGTAGCCAAAGTGAAGACCTTGAGTGATGGCTAAGTAAACACCTGTCCCATAAGTCAGGACCCCAAATAATTCTGCTGAGCCCTGCCGTCATCCCCGGGAGGCCCTGGGGAGAACTGAGTAGCAGAGATACCACCTTAAGTTCCTGCTCCTTGTCCTGTGGGTGAAGATGAATCTTCTATGGAAGTGATGTCTGATCTCAGTACCTATAATTAGTCATGGGAAGGACCCTAAAGGAGGTGATGGGGACACCCACGCTAGAACAGAATGTACTCAACAGAGCCCTGTCCTGCTGTCACACGTTGGGGAACTGTCGATGCGACACCCCGTTAATTCATATTTAGTAGTCCCCGGATGGAAGTATATATAGCACAAGGGAATGATTGATTGTAGGTTAGCAGAGGGCAAGCATCTCATATACTATCAAGTTTCAAGGTGTAGATTTTGTATGAACAAAGAGCTGACCATCTACTTGAGTGAACACGGGCCCCCATGATACCTAACCTGCCCCTGTAGTAATCCCTGGGAGGTTTCAGATGATGGTGGCTAGCAGGTTTTGTTTTTGATTTTTGCCATTTACAATTTTATTTTTTTCTCCTTCATTATTTTCTTATTTTTTTAATTGTTTTTAGATTTGCCACCATTTCCCCCACACCACTGCTTAAAGCTCCAGCCATCCTCACCTTCTACTCTGGATCTCACCCCCTCTGGCTTTGTCCTTGTGTCCTTTATACATGTTTCTTGATGACCCTTTGCCTCTTTTCCCCTTTTATTGCCCCCCTGCTCCCCTCCGCTTACTGTCAGTTCTTTATTTCCATGTCTCTGTTTATATTTTACTTGCTCACTTTGTTGATTAGGTTCCACTTACAGGTGAGATCATATGGTTTTTGTCTTTCATCAGCTGGCTCACTTCACTTAGCATAATTCTCTCTAGATTCATCCATGCTGTCATGGAGAGTAGGAGGTCTTTCTTTCTTTGTGCTGCCTAGTATTCCATTGTGTAAATATTACCATACTTTTTGATCTACTCATTTAAAGATGGGCACTTAGGTTGTTTCGATCACTTGGCTCTTGTAAATGGTGCTTCTATGAACATTGGACTGCAGAGGTTTTTTTTGTTTGTTTGTTTTGTTTTTTTCAATTTGTGTTTCAGGTCGGTTAGGGTATAATCTCAGCACTGGAATCGCCTGGTCAAAAGGCAGTTCCACTTTTAGGTTTCTGAGTACATCTCATACTGTTTTCCACAGTGGCTGTACCAGTCCGAATTCCCAACAGTTCTGAACGAGGGTTCCTTTTCCTCCAAACCTCGCCAGCATTTGTTGTTTGCTGATTTGTTTATGATGGCCTTTCTGACAGGTGTGATGTGGTAACTCATTGTGGTTTTAATTTGCATCTCTCTGATGGCTAGTGATGCTGAGCATCTTTTCATATGTCTCTGGGCCCTCTCTATGTCCTCCTTGGAGAAGTGTCTGTTCAAGTCCTTTGCCCATTTTTTAATTGGATTATTTGTCTTCCTGGATTGTCACCGTGTGAGTTCTTTATATACTCTGGAGATCTCACCCTTGTCTGAGGTATCATTTGCAAATGTATTTTCCCACACAGTTGGTTCTCTTTTCATTTTGCTGATATTTCCTTGAAAACATCTTGAGATGTTCTCTTTAATTTGATGAAGTTCCCCCACCCTTTTTTTTTTTTTAATTCTGTCATTTATATTCCCTGCTCTACGGGACATATCGGTGAAACTATTGCTGTGTGAACTTTCAATTAAGTTGTACTTGTTTTCAATATCAACGTATTTTTGTATTTCCTGATTTTAAAGAATAACACATCCTTGTAAGAAACATTTAAAACTGTACAGCCATGAATAACATAGAAAGAGAACATTCTTGAAACCCCTCCACCTCCAGAGACCACCAGAGTAAATATTTTGGTGTATTTCCTTCCAGAATTTTCTCTATGCATATCCATTCTTTTTAAAGAAAATAATAAAAGAATACATATTGCAACTCTTTCATTGAAGCATAATTTACATAGACTGTATATTGTTTGGTTGTAGTGAGAGCTTTGAAATGACCTAATTGTCTGTCAGTAAGCAAATTGTATCTTAAATTGTAGGGTGCCTGTACAGTGGAGTATGCTGCAGCTACTAAGAGAGAGATCTGTAGCCAGCGACCTTGACAGATGGCACAGTATGTTGTTAAGCGAGAAAATCAAGTTGCTCTTGGAACGCAGCATTCCAAAGCTTCAGCATTTTCCTCGCCATTTTAGCTTCTTTTTGGTTGCTTATATTTGGGTGAATGTGCAACTGCCAGATCAGCATGTAGGAGGCCCTGGATACCCATTCCCTGGGAAGTTTCTCTGCCATTCAATGGACCACTTGCTGTAGATAGCTCCTGCTCACTAGCACTCTCCATTGAAATTCTTGGCTACTGTGGGGCTGGCCCTGGGGAGCGGCTTCAGAAGGACCATATCCTCCAGTGAAGACTCCCTACACACCAGCTCAGGCTTGAGCCCTCTGGCACATTTTTTATCACCACCACCACCACCACCACCACCACCCTATCTGGAAGGAGTCAGACATGCAAATTCTGTCCTATCTGGCAGAAGCCCAAATGACTTTCCTTACTACCTTACTATGAAAAAATAAATTTTGGGCTCATTTGAACTTTTATTTTAATATCGCTTATTTAAAATACATTTGTTCTACATGACTCCTGTTTCTGAACCAGTTAAACATCTGCCTGTTTGTGTCAGAAGTTAAAGAATCTCTAGCTTGCACTTTCTTTCATTTCTGTATAACAGTCATTGTTTTTTAAATTTTTTGAAAGTATTTTGCCACAAAAGCAAGGAAGTACGACCAGTTACTAGTTTCTTATTGGTGCTCTAACAAATTAACACAAACTTAGTGGCTTCCAAAACAGAAGTCCAAAATGAGTCTTGGGCTCAAACCAACATGACTGGAGGGCTGCTTCCTTGTGGAGGCTCCAGGAGAGAATCTGTTCTTTGTCACCTCCAGCTTCCAAAGGCTACTGGCATCCTCTGTGTTGGCAGCAGCATTATAAACTCTGTCTCTAGCATCACATTGCTCTGACTTCTGACCCAAATTCCAGCATCCTCCTTTTTAACTCATGTATTTTATTTATTTCAATTAAATTTTATAATCAGGGTTATTTTGTATTTGTTTGAGGTGTCGTACACTGTGTTTGGACAATCCTGTACTTAACAGTGCCCCCCCCCCCGCCTGGATATATCCAGTACCCCACCTGATACCCTACATAGTTATTACAGTGTTACTGACTACATTACCTATGCTATACTGTACATTTCCGTGACACTTTTCTAACTAACTACCAAGCTATACTTGCGAATCCCGTGCCCTTATCACCTGTCCCCCATCCTGCCTCCCCTGTGGCAACTATCACTCCGTGCACTGTATCAGTGAGTCTGTTTCTGTTTTGTTTGATTCTGTGGATGACTACTGGTCTTAACACCTCACTTCATACCCTGGGGTCTAGGAGAATGGCAGTTTTGGTCTCAAAGTGGCCAGGTTGAGATCAGCAGTGGATAGGGTGACTAGCCAGTCCAGGTATCCATCGGGAGACAGAAAAATGACTGAAAGGAGGTATGACTTTGTCCTGGGAGACAGCCTTATTTAGCATGGGGGAGATGACACGGGCCCTATGAATTCTTTGGTAATAAACCTGAGTGGGCACTGAAGGGACCACACTTGTCAGAACACAAGTGGCTCTACTGGGCACGGTGATACCTGCCTGACCTACCTGCCTACTGTCATCCCTGAGAATTCTCAGCCTGGCTTGGCCGGCTGCACCTTGAAGAGAATTGAGCATTTCTCCTCCTTGTGCTAGGGGGACAGAGCAACCTGGAGGTCAGGTGTAGGCCTGCTGTCTGGAGAGGTCCATCGCAGGTGGCTTTTACTAGAGCCACCACCATTGAGCTTAGCAGTTGAGGTCACTCACATCTTTCTTCTTTCCCTTAGGCAGTGATTCCCCACTGCCTTCCTGTTCACACTCCTGATTGCTACCACCTACAAGACTCGTCATGGCTTTTCATCAGAAGAATCCACAGCGCTCACCCAACCAGCCCCTTCAGAGCCGCAGCGAGACCCCAGGCCTGGAGGCTGCACACGCACCAGAGGCTGTAGAGAGGGCCTGTCTCTCCCCCCACCCTCCCATGTTTGGCAGCTTGAATGAGGCTCCTGCTGCTGGTATCCCCGGTAGTCCTGAGAGTCCTCAGAGTTTCTTCTCCTCCTCAGTTGTCACCACAGACGCCTCATCAAGCAAATCTGGTGAGGAGTCCAGTAGCCAGGAGGAGGTGGGTAGCACCTCACGGGAAGTGACCCTAGAGGCTCTGGATGAAAGGGTGTCTTCTTTGGTGGATTTCCTGCTGGTCAAGTATCGGGAGAAAGAGCCAATAACCAAGGCAGAAATGCTGACAATCGTCAGTGAAGAGTATCAAGACCACTTCGCTGACATCTTGCTGCAAGCCTCTGAGCGCATGGAGATGATCTTTGGCCTTGATGTGAAGGAAGTGGATCCCATCCAGCACTGCTATGCCATCGTCATCAAATTGGGCCTCACCTATGATGGGATGCTGCATGGTGAAAAGGGCGTGCCCAAGACTGGCATCCTGATACTTGTCCTGGGGGCTATCTTCATGAAAGGCAACCGTGCCACTGAAGAGGAAGTCTGGAAAATTCTGAATGTGGTGAAGTTATATCCTGGGAAGAAGCACGACATCTTTGGAGATCCCGGGTGTCTCATCACCAAACACTTCGTGGAGGAGGAATACCTGAAGTACCAGCAGGTGGCCAACAGTGATCCTGCACAATTTGAATTCCTGTGGGGCCCCAGGACCCACGCTGAAACCACCAAGATGCAAGTCTTAAAGTATCTGGCCAAGATTTATGGGTCTGACCCAAGTTCTTTCACATCTCAGTATAAGGAGGCGTTTGAGGAAGAACAAGAGAGATCTCAGGGCAGAGTTGCCACAGCGGCTATCGATTACCATGGTCTCTCCTAGTTCTAAGGCCAAGGCTGGCTGGTCCACCTGTGCCTATGGAAGTCAAGCATAGTTTCCTCATGCATTGTTTGAAGAGGCATCTCACGTTCATAGATAGAATTTAGGTCAGTGAGAGTGCTGAAAGGTGTATGCCCGTGTCTCTCTTTGGTATGTGTACCTTGAAAATCAGTTCATTTGTTTTTGGTAACGGGTACTATTCAAATTACTGGGTTTTTAGTATAGATTGAATCAGTTTTAAAGTCTCTTGAGTTTATGAATGACACCTCACCTATGCGATGCTTTAAGGAGCTTTTGCAGTAAGAGTATGGTTGTTTTTGAAAACAAAATGTAAAACCACCCATCTTTCGTTGTGATCTGGAAAGAAAAAAAGTATCGTATTGTGATAGCCATGTCCCCGTATAGGTAAAAAAAAAAAAAAAAAAAAAAAAAAAAAAAAAGAGCTTTAAGAAGTTGGGATCAATCGGGAAAAGTAGAAACAAATCTAATTGATATTCAGATCTTTCATAAGCTTTTTAGTTGTTGTTGTATAAAATTTAGTGATAAGTACTTGCATTTGCCTAGCTTTTCAAAGAATGTACAAGAAATAAATCTTAAGAAATTAGATCTCGTGCTCTCTGGTTCATTAATCCCTGAAAATTTCATTGAACACCTTCCTCTTGGAAACAGGGCTCCAGTACTGGGAATGCTAGGGTTTAAGGAATTAGGACTTGTTCATTGACTTGTAACAGAGCAAAGCAATAATCCTTTAAGAACATGGTGTGATCTTCTCGTATCCAAAGGAGAAGTAAAAGGAAGGTTTGAGTACGTAGGTAGACACTTATGAGACTAAGTGTTAATAGAGTAAGGCATGACAGTTTGGGGCTTTGGGACACTTCAAGTCCTTCAGTGGGAGGTGACTTTACATTAAACTGGCTGATGGCCTTGTGAGCAGGGAGCAGACCTAGATTGTGTCTCTCAGGGTTGAAACCCAAAGTCTGGCGTGTTATACCTGCTGTTAACTCTTACTTTTGGATCCCAAGTAAATCAGACACAAATTCTTACCTGTTACTGGAATGGAAGTTGTCCTGCCTTCCTGTGCCAGTGCAATTGGAATTCAGCGCACAAAGTAGTTGTTTCATTTACACGCATCATGTGTCAGGAGTTTCAGAGAAACACAGATGATATTCCCTTGAGATTAATAAACTCCCTTAAACAACTGGGATGGCACTGTGCCACAGCCTAGGAGAGTCAGGGCCCTCTTTATTCCAAGGAAAACTTAAGGAAGCTTTACTTAGTATAAATTTGCAAATGTTTTTAAAAGGCTAGATTTTTGGTTTGGGACAGATGAAGGAAAAGGGGAGCGGTGTTACACTGGAAGATACAGGGGAGAAAAAAATAATTCTCAATACTAACCTTCTAGTATCTTGCCTACGAATCCCCGTAATAAAAACTAGTGGGAGAGAAACTAATTGAATTATGGAGGCAGGTATGGGAATAACACAGACATAAGAGACTCAAAGAAGTGATTGAAGAGGGGAACATTTATATATTTCAAACAAATGATTTGAAGAATTGATAAGGTAAAGGAGTTTGGGTTTAGGGTAAGTTGGTGAAGAAGTAACAAGGTTTGTTTATACAGGGCTTCTAGTCCCTAAATCCCCGTTATCCACGGATAAAGACGCCTTCTGTCCTCTTGGCATGGGGAGGGCAACTTTCACGTGGGAGATTTATATTCTGTTTTCAGGGGGACAAAGGAGGGTGAGATTGTTCCTCCCACAAGAGTTGTTTCTCAGGTACCTTTAACTGAAAATAAGCAATATACGGATGAGACGTACATGGTGGCGAAATATTCTGATCCCCTATAAAGGTCAGCTGGGAGGGAAGTGAGGAGCTGGTTCTTGACACAAATTCTGGGAAATTTTATTTCCATGCAGCTGGGGAGGACATTCCCACACCCCAAACTGAAGAACATAAACACTGAGGAGAAGATTTTACAAAAGTCTACTTGCCGACGAAGACTTTGGTCCAATAAGCTAACACTAGACTTGACAAGCTATGCCCTATAGCACTTAGGTTTTCTAAGAAATCCTAGGTCTGGAAAACCCACTCACACACACACTTATACACAGATGAGGGTAGTAGGATTGGGAATTAACATAGTCTTGGTAAAACTTCTCACCCATTAATGTTTTACACACACCAGACACTTGTACCTTGTGCTTTTTGGAGTTCAACATATTCCAACAGTCCTGGAAAGGCAGGTTTCTCACACGAAAATCACATATGAAGATCCTCAAGCCCAAAGAGCTTAATGCTTGTCCTCAGTGTCACTTGTCCTGTGTGTGACCGAGCTGGAACTAGGACTATTCTCTGAATTCATCTACAGCCCATTCTGTTTCACTCTTCCCAGTCTGAGTCAGACCTTCAGTCTCCTCATTTATTTCCCTTATCATTATTTGTTAATGCCACTTAGGATATAAAAATAAGCGTGTTGTAGCAAGGAACTTAAGGTGGATTTAAGGAAGGAAGATTGAAAGAAGAAATACAATTCAGCCATTCTGTGTGGGCTTCATTAAACTGGGGGTGTTCACCGTAAGCCCCAGGGTTCCTTCGGAAGCGAGCTCTGCCTAGAGACTGGCAGTTTTGTCTCACTTCAGCTCTGTCTACATTATAGTGCCCCTCCCTTAGGCCTTCCCCAGGGTACACTCTTATCCAAACTGGAACCTGATCTGCTGGTTGACTCTAATCTTCCTCTGAAACCTGCACCTTGAATCCAGTGGTAGTAGAAACAGGACAAAAATCAACTGCCCCCCTTCTGACTGACAGCATTCTAATTCCCTCGTAGCCCCATCCCTCACCATGTAGCCCTGATATAGCAAGGTCCTGTTCCACAGAAAAGTAACTTTGACATTGAAATTCAAAGGTGTCCACCCCCTGGACATTTCCACCACATTCTCAGAATATTTCGCCTAAGTCCTGGTGAATATACACTGATACATCCTAGAACTCACTAATCTTGCAGATAGAAAGTTGAAGCTGGTGAGCAGGTTTTCAAGCTACTCTGATGTTTCCATTGGAATTGTAATAAGCCCCTTCTTTTCTTTTCAGTTTTTGGTTTTTTTTTTGATATTGAGTCTGGCCACTGAACACATGCAAGTATGAGGTTACCTATGTAGTTAATGACCCAAACCTCCCACGTAAGTGATATTTGAAGGAAGATTCAAGAACATGGAAATCGTCATTTAGGAAACATTTAGTAAGGATTAACTTCCTAAGATCCCTGGAGGTTTTTTTTTTCCAAGGGTGAAAGAGAGTTTCTTGACAGGCATGCCATCTTTGGTCAGCAAGCTTAACAACAATTCAGTGACCTTCTACAGCCTCTTGTCTAGCTACTGGTTCAAGGGGAAATGCTGGTTTTTCCTTGTGCCTAAAGGCACCCACACTAGTCAGTCTTTCATCATCTTGAAGGTGGCAGACACCCATAGGTTTTTATTTTCCCAGGCAGCCCAATGAAGAAGAAAAGTTCTTATCCTATTCAGATTTTACAAGTTATTGCTTAGGTCAATGAAGAAAGCTACTACGGGGTGCAGTAGGTAGCCTTCCCAGCGGATATTTCATAGGATCCTTTAGAAAGGTGGACGTGAGACCAAGTTTGTGAACAACCGTCCCATAGCACGATCTCAAAAACTTTGTAGAATCACAAGGCAATTTGGCCTCCTTGGCAACTCCACCAGGAAATAAAGAGGGTGGTTGTCACAAAATTCTAACATCAACATTATATTAGGCACCTATTTATAACAATTTGTGGGGGAGACTGCAAATGCTCACCCCATCTTGTTTTCCTTTCCTTCCTGGGCCCACGGGGAAACTATAGTACCAAGTTCATTCACAGTTGGGAAGGCTGCTATGGCCAGCCCTTGCCAGTGATCTGTGAACAGAAACACTATTTGTCAATTCCAGGCCAAAACATTTGACATCCACTTTCCCACCTTCCACATTGTAATTGCATTAAGCAGTAAACACGAAAATAACGTTTTTGCAGTTGACCTACAAGCAAGCTGTCAGGCCCCATGTCACCTGTTAGCACAGAATATCTACCAAGCCACATAGAAAAATTAACTTTTATTGTATCACACTGTTCATGTTTCAGGCTTTGTTACATCATTTAGCAGTAACTTTTTCTGGTTACAACACCTCTCCTGTTTCTGTTTTCTGGCTTATTTACATATTTTAATTACAAAGATAAGTGCAGATGTACTTGTTACAAGGCACTCTAACAAGACGGAGAACTGATATACGTATATGTCCCTCTTTATAACTCAGAAATGCTGCCTCTCAAAGGTGAACGCAATTACCATTGGGTACATATCATTTTAAAGCTAATTCTAGTTCTTTTTCCGTATATAGATATGCTATAATAATACATTTAGTTCATTTTCATATACATGGGTTCACTAATATTTTGTATTCTTTCAGTATTGAAAACGTGTGTGCGCGCGCGTGTCTCTCTGTGTGTGTGTGTGTGTGTGTGTGTGTGTGTGTAGTCTCAGATGTTATAGTTTTTGCCTCTTGAAGTTAATTTTGGGGCTTTTTATATGGTCTACATCTCTAATCAGTTTAATCTGTTTTTTCCGTTTCTTGAAAAAATAAAATACTGTTATATCTGGGTGTCTACTGATTCTATCATTTCCAGTTTAGACAGATAGATCAATTAGTTTTCTCCTAACAATTGATTATATTTCCATGCTTCTTTGCATACCTGGTAATAGTTGAATGGACTTGAGACATTGTGAAATCATGATTTTACTTTTTCTCACCCTTGTCCAGAAGAAATGATCATTTCTAAAATTCTGAATACACAAATATTCTCAAGCTGTTTTGACTTGGGATTCAGTTACTTAGAAACAAAGTAATCCTTTCAGTTCTTGATTTCAAGCTTTGTGACCTGGGACCAGAACAGCGTTAACCATGGCTGATGTTACCACAATGCTGAATCGAACACTTCTGAGTACTCCGCCTGA